TGCGGATTGGGGTGTTGGGGCCGGGGGGAAGCCCTCGCCATTGTGTCTGTGTTTTTTTTTTTTTTTTTTTTCTTAACGGAGCGCAGCGCTTCCCCGGGCCGAGCGGCGGTGAAGCAGTGGCGGCGGAGACAAAACCATCAGACGGTTGTTTAACTAAAGCTGCGGCTCGTTGCAGTCACGGCGAGCACCGGCCTTCGCTGATATTCCGCTACTTTTGACTTTGCAACGGGTCAACGGTTTTCAGTGAAAGCGGCAGCGCAAGACAGAGTAACGGCAGTGAGTCCGTTATCGGACACGTCACCGTCTGCGCTTTAAACGCCGATGCAAAGGTGAAAAAAGAGGGGAGAGGAGCGGCTTCCTCACACACGCCGAGCATAGGTCTATGAACACAGACAGAAAAAGTGCATTTGATCACAGATTAACCCAAATCGGACGCATCCGCCACCTACTCAGCGGTCGCCGCTTGACGTTACTTGATGCTCTCACATGCACACATTGTTAGTGACTGTTACCTTCCTCACACATGTCATTAGTTTGCAATTATGTGGTTTCTGTGTTAAAACGCTGTCAACCAACAGCTGGTTGCACACTACAGAGATTTTGCAGTGGCACACGGGACGAGCGAGAAAAAAGGGGGAGGAAGGGGGAGGGGGGAGGCCATAACGACAACTGTAACACCAGGCGATAGACGTGACCGGGCTTGGCAGCGTGTCCGATAATGGATCTAAGGATCGACTTTATGCGCTGCGTCTGCAAATCGTCCGTCGGCGTAAAAACACGGACGCAGTTTCTTTTTTACACCGACGCGTCGCATAAACATTCGCTGTTGGAACTTTTGCATCGAAAACCATCGATTAAAAGTGTGTGCAGTGATGATGGGCTCAGATGTTTAAAAGTCCACACGGAAGGGGGGCTGCATGGTTACACACTAATGAAATGTGTCTGCGCTGCGACGTCGAGCAGGGAAACGTTCGGTATCGGGAGCGACTGTCCCCGTTTTCCTCACTCACACTCTCACTCACACACACACACACACACACAAGATCAACAACCTAACAATGTCCCACCGTCCCCCATCAGGATCCGACATCCGCGGTGTTTCAGACTTTTTTTCTTCTTCACCCACTCCCATACTGACAAGTCACTGACAACAAAACACCCACTTCCGGTCACAGATTTCTAAAGTAAAACTGTCATGGCGAACAGTCAATGCTGACATAAGTGGGAGTTGGAACAACTGAAAAAAGGAACCCGCATTCGGTCACAAAAACAAAACATTAATTTCGCCATTTTAAATATATCACGAAAATGTGTAGGTTGATGCAGTACAGTCTGATGGGTTCACCTGCAGTCAGCCCTCTACCTTTTCTTTCTCTTTTTTAAGTGTCCTTTTCTTTTTTAAAGTGTTTGCAACATTTTGGCTGCTAAAATTCACCAGTATAATGAACAATATTTGTAGCATGTGCGTAGCAGTGATGCCATGTAAATGATGCCGAGGACGTTAAGACCAAGCTCCAACCATGCCATTTGCTGCCCATTGCTGCTCTTGTTTCCTCCATCTTGTAATTTCTTCATGCCAGCAGTTGGCCCAACCCACATTTCAAAAGTATTTGAGGTAGAGCCATCTTATGTTGCATTTCAGGACTTGGCTAATTAGCCCAAACAGCTAACTATTACTATTATTTAATTTTATGGATCTTGCAGTTCAACACCCTTATATACTGTATATATACTGTATAAATATATATTTATATATAGGTGCAATTTAACTCATAACATTAATGACAAATAAAGGTAAAATCTTTATAACCCTGTGTTTAGCCTCCACCTAACTTTAGCACCTTGCCCTTACGAGTGCTTGATCCAGATTCTACAAAACATATATGATAATGGAAAGGAGAAAACATTAACAGTGGGGGTTTTACCTGTTTTGTATGGACTACTAATGTCCACTTTCTCAAAAGTGAAACCTGAAAACAAATGGATTGGATGAGTCACCATAGTTACAAGGAGAGGTGACATAATTGACAACTTTCCCAGGTTGTACAATGTTTTCTTTCTCTTTTTATTTTCTTTTTTTCAAAATAATGTGATTGGAATTGCAGAGAGATAGACATGCATCATGTTGTTGTGAGTGAAGCAAACAAGGCAGAGATTAGTGAGGAAATCGCCAAAGAGGATAAAAACGTGTGCACTGCACCCTTGTGAAAACTGCCATTTTAAATCCAAAGTGGAAACAAAAAACATAGTTAATATACAACAAAGGGAAGGAGCTATCACTAGCTGGCTGTGGATACAGGCCTGGACCAAGACAAGAAGTTCTCATTTGGTTTTAAAAACATTATTACTCTGCCACTATGGTAAATATATCAGGGCAATAGTACAACAACACCAAGATTGAGTGTTAATGTCTCTGCAACGTGGCCAGACTTCTGTTGGACAAAATAGCTTCCAACTGCATGTGATGTACACTCATTATAACTCTCCCACTGATGTATGAAGACAGATCATTCGAAATTGCTTTTTTGGTGAAGAGAAATATATTAAAAAAATCAAATAAGAGCAGTGTCTTACTGAGAGAAAAAAAGAAAGTTTAATTTAATTATTTTTCTCATGCCACACATTTCCCACCGCTGCTAAGTGTACAGTTGTTCATTGCGCCCGTCATTTTTTGCCTTTATTTTGAAAACAATATTGGCTCACGTCCGGTCCTGCGTTACTGGCTGCATATGAACTTGACACACTCCCCCTCCTTTCACCCTCCGCATCCTCCTCCCCTTCTCAACGCCGAGTTTGGGGCTTGGAAAGCGCTTTTTGCCGCTAATAATGGAGGCTTGATGTGGCTTGTTTGTTTCTGCGGGCGGCGCAACTTTTGGTGTCTTTGCGCTTGTTCGTCTGCGTCATTTTAAAGCAAAACGTGCCACGCGCTGACTCTTCACGCGCACCTTCAGTTTTTTTTTTGCTCTGGCGCTGCGCTCGAGCGCGGTCCACGCGCCGCTCCCCGTCTGCGGCAGTTTTTTTTTTGGGTGCACTTGCAAATCACTCCCCCACCACTCCCCGTGTGCACAGACACACACAAAAACAGCACAATGTTGTAAAAAACACAGACAAACACACACGCAGCCCGCGCCCTTGGCTCTTTTTTCCCCCTTTATCTCCACCTGTTAAATGTACCGTGATGTGACAATGAGCTCAGAGCTCCGCTGAAAGAGCATCGAACCTCACACGTTACCTCCAGCTCGTCGTCGTCCTGCTCGGCGGCTCCCAGAGCGCTGTCCCCGTTGCTCAGGTCAGAATGACTGGCTTCTTCCACCGCGCTCCTCCTTGCAGCCGCCGTTAACGCCGCTGAAACATCGTCCTTCTTTCGGCTCCTGCGCTGAACCTTAGCCGCGTTGCGGTAGGATATGGAGCCCTTGTAGTTAACTTTCAGTACCGTCTGCTCCTGAATCAGTTTCTCCAGTTCTGCGCACGTTCGGTCTGGCTCGGACCCGTGTCGCCTTCGGACCATACGGCAAATCCTATCCAAGTCCGGCCGGGCTTTCCGCGACCGCAGCGAGTCGATAGTGTCCAGGATCCACTCGCGGTACTTGGACTCCGACATCTTTTCCTCTCCGTCTGGGCCGGCTCGCTTTTCTTCTTGCGGGTGCTTTTTTCTCTCTCTTATCTTAGTGCGTCAACCTTGTGCGTTTTTTTACCCACGGTGTTTTTCTGGAGCCGCGGTCCGAGCCTGAGTGAGAAGCGGAAACCTCGTTGAACAGCCTCCTGCGTTTGCGTGTGCGCTTAAGGTGGAGCGGACGGTTACAGGCAAAAGTTTGACTAGAGGCGCAGTTTAAGGTGGAATGTGCCAGTCCTGGACAGAGACGTGCGCGCGCACGTACGTGTTCGTGCCCCATCAATGGCTGCCAGTAGTAGGAGGCAGTTTGGTTGGTTTAAAAGTTTAAAAATATGTCAGTACGGTCATTAATTATTATTTTTAAAAAAATGTTTATAAAGTCTCAGTTGATTTTAAAGGTATGTCATGTTGAAAATGCATTTTTCTATGGTATATATTACATTTACTCAAACTCATTGTGTCACAGGAAGCTACACTTCTACTACACGTGATTGACAGTTGAATTGACCAATAGGAAGAAGTATAGAATTTCAGAACATTTCATCTGTCATATGTCAGTGGTATTTACCTTCAAAAAGGCCGTTAGTAGGGTTAACTTAGCTTAGCTGAACTGCATTATTGTTAGTTAAAAAAACAATAACTAAAACCTTTAGTAGCAAAACAATCTTTTATCATTATTTAAGGAAAGCATATGGAGCCACATACACAAAAATGAAATCCATAAAGAAAGATAATCATTTTTGGCCTGTTTGTCCTGGACAGTGACACATTTGTCTTGTAAACTCAACATTTAAGTTTAATATATAGGAGAGCATAAGACAGCTATGAGTTTTAATTACAACACAACAGGCTAAAATTCAATTTCAAATTCAAATTTTTGCTGACTAGTTTTATTTGTTTTGTAAACTAAATTGAACAGTTTAAAAGTATAGAAGTTCAATACTAACACCACTAAGATTATTTGACTTTTATATTGTTTTGTCAAAAACAATATTTTTATGTTTGGTGGATCTAAATAAACATCAAAACTCAAATATTTTCCATAGAATTCAGAATTTCACTTGTTGTGCATTTTATTTCCATATATGGTCATTGAAGATTGCTGACATCACTGTCTATAAGCATATACAACTAACCAGGTTGACAAAGACGGGCACAGGCATTTACAGTAACTGGTACATTTTTTATTGTTACTTTATATCTGTCAAATATTTCACATACTTTGTGCCATTGTCCTTCCATGTTTGCAACTATAAACACAGAACATATAGAAGAAAATGTCAGTCTATGGAGAATATATTGTCCACATCTGTAGCACAGCTGTACAACCAGCACATCTCACACAAGACACGTTTCCTAAAAAAAATGATTGGCCAATAAATGTCAGAGGACCAAAAACGGCTAGGTTGTAGATTCGTGAGTGTTAGCTAAAGTATAGTGTCTAAATCTTGCATGTTAATGTTGAATAGCAAAAAAAACATCTCAGGTATGTCCACAGGTTTGGTAAATGTTAGCAAAAGTCAACAAAGTTGTCAAAAGATAAGTCAGTCCTGGTTTATAGGAAGGAGTAAAACTAGCCTGAAAGCTAGTGCTAAAAGGATAGCAAGCTAATGTTCATCCTTAGACATTGACCTATATTTTTCATGGCATTACATTACAAATTGCTGTGTAAATTTGAATTCTCTCAGTCAATAAATTTACATCCCATTACTTGACTGAGAGCAGCATCACCTTAAAAACAAGGAATTATTTTACAGTACTTCCCAAGTGTTTCCATTCAGAGCATGACAAATTTTCCACACGTCAAGCCTGAACACACCAACAGTGATTTGGAATACATTATTTCAATAAAATCGAGAAATTATAACCTTATTGACACTGCGTTGCCTTTTTTTCCTGAAATGATGTTGTTTCTTGGAAAGCCTGGTCTTCAGTTCACCCTGCAGATTATTTGTAAGATTCAGGTCAGGTCAATCAGAACATTAAGTCTGGCTTCTTCACCGTTTTTTTTTCTCTTTCCATGTTATTATCATTATAATAATTATTAATTTGTCGAAGTCCTTTCACCATAGGCACAATCCCAGTCGTGTATGCATTACAGCATCTCAGAGCGTGATATCTGCGGCTCTACCATTCCTTGTGGGGATGCTGTTTTTGGGTTTCGTGCTTGTCACGTTCTTCTCAAACAGCCACCATCTCTGTGGTTTAATAGGTCTTCTTCTGTTTCCTCTGAATAGAGTCTGTGTTCCAGTTATTGTTGTTATAATCCAGTGTGTCCTTGGACATTTCTTTAGTGTTAGTATGTTCTTGTCTTGGACTCTGGGTTAAACCTTACAATTGTTCCTTCTAGACAGTTGACATTCCAGCATTATTTTAATGTCCCTCTGACGTGTTGACAACGTCCTTGAAAAGCTCTAATATGGCAGGTACAGTATGTCTGAAGAGTGAACCTGGACTACACTCTAGTTTTGTTTTGTGGAGCTTGATTTTCCCAATGTGTTTAAATTGTGTCTGCAATTCAACAAGCCAGAATTCAACAATTTCTTAAACCATTTTTGCTTCTGGGTGGCAGGTAAAAATAGTCTTACATAAAATTCAACATACAGATGTCAGTATTCACCATTATTTCACACACATAAGGGTACACCATTTTCCAGGGCCATTTTTATTCAATTTTTGACCATCCTTGGCTGACTTTTAGCAAATCTGGGCATTCTGTCACAGGCCACCACTACTTTTTCAATACTTTGTCGTTAAAAACAATGCCCAGTTTTTACTTAAAAAAAAGCATGTTTGACACATCAGCATGGAATTAAGAAAGCAGATAGAGAGAGGCTGTAATTAATGAACAGATTCAACATTAAAATAATTTTAAAAGTGAGCTTGCAAGCTAACAGCAAAACAACAAATGTGCACTGCCCAATCAGGTAATGTCAATTTTGGGAGATTTAACAAGAATAAATTGTCAATTCTTTCTTGTTGTTCCTCTTTACAAACATGTAGTATTACGGCAATACTGTCATCACAACTGGTTGAAAAGTTTTTGGTAAAATGAGAAAAATGGTTCTTTTTGGTGTTGAAGGTTGGACACATGCACTCTATCCAAGCCCCACCCAGAATAAATAATCCATCTTAACCCTGGTCTTAATTGAAGGGACATCATCACCAAGAGCTGAAACACTTCACGGATAACTGATGTGTAGGGATGAGGTCCACCGTCAGAGTGCTCCAGGGGTGAAGTTTGTGGAGCAAGGTGGTGACAGCTGGCTGCTAACTGATCCCATACTGACAAGATGAACACAACACTGCATTATTCAACTCCAACTGGCAGCACACACAAAAAAAGCCTCGATATAACAGACAGAATGGTGAAAATAAGGCAGCTACAGTACCATCACCTACCAAAAATTCCGCTTCCCGGATTCCATCAGGGGAGAGGCTTATTCTTTGTATAAATTTAAATCTCATTAAAAGGCCGATCACTTTCCGAGAGTTTAAACATAATCACGAGATGTTAGTCTTAACAAGTAAAACTTTATTGGAATGATACATTTTGCAAAATATTACTTTGTGTATATTTTTTTAACATACTCATTGTGTTCTAAGGGTATCTGTCAAGTTCTCCAGAAGGTAAGATAGTTAAGACTGTTAAAGGCAAGGATATACAGTATTGTTTCCCAAAAGGTACAATAGACTACACAATCACTGTACCCAGGTCATGAGGAAAAAAGATTAATGTTCTGTTTTTGCTTTGTTTTTTTTTTGTATCCATTTTTTTGAAAATACAATTAGAAAATATGAACGCAAAACATCTCTGATGTAAAAAGTGTTATGTCTGAATGAAGAGTGTGTGGAGACCTGATGAGTCAAAAGGCAAACACAGAAGAAGAACCAAAGAGAAAACGAGCACAGATCATTAAATAGTTGCTATCTGATAAAAGAATAGGACACGAGTGAGAAGATGTTTTTTTTTTTCCTTTTTCTTTTTTGGTGGGAAACAAAAACAAAGCGTCGCACTGGAGGCGTTGCCTCTTACCCACCAACTCTGATGTAGTCAGTCAGAACATAAAGATAGTACATGTGCTCTCTTTACACAATCTATTAAAACTTTTTTTTCCAAGATAAAGCCAAACAAAAATAAACCACAATAAATAAATAGGACATTTGAAACGATGTGGCATGTGCTTCACAATTTGCAAATGACTGGACGAGTTGGTCGAGGATCCACTGCAATGCTGAACGTGATGCTCATGATCGAAGGGTTCGATAGTTGTCACACCTTCAACTGTGGATCCACCATGGAGCGTGTATAAAAAAAAAAAAAATGGAATGCGGCCGTAGAGGTGCCCATTGAAAGTCACTGAGGAAAACCAGAAGTGCTAGTTTGAGAATTTAACCGAGTATAAAATGAAATCTTCAAGATATATATTTTTTGTAAGATATGATTTCATTAAGAGGAAAATAGACGATAGAGCAAGACGGTGAAGACGGTGCATATGTGTCTGGAAGTGCCACCGATCGCTGGTATGTTCAACAGCCTGGTTGTTGTAGATGTCAGTGAATGAATCACACAAACTGTACAATACAGTCCAAAAGTTTAGGCTGTACAGGTTCACTATAAACACATTTTTATATACTCTTAAATCCATAAACGCTAGGCCAATAACAGCTAAGGATGTCTGGAAAATGTATAATATTGTTAAAAATGACTTTCGACCTTATACATTTGCTTTAAACACGGTGCTGCAGGTCCCCATTTCATGGTGCGGTACAATTACTGACCAGTAGGGGGCTGGATGCTCCACAAACACTGGCAGCCACTGACTCTAAATGAATGTCGAAGATATATATCTATATACATATTTAATGAAATATTAAACCTACAGAAATTTGTATTTAGCAAATTATTAAATCATTAATGAAGAACCTCCGGGCAAAGAGTAGAAACTCGCTTTACTTTCATCTCAGGAAGTGAGAGAGGTGAAGCTCAGAAATACAACATGGCAACTCCCTGATGGTAGGCTTAAAAAAAACAACAACAAAAAACAGAAGTGGCAGTCCAATGACATCTGCCGTTTTCGTTCATCTATTTTCCACAAAATGAGATTGACATTTACCAAACTGACACTCTGTTGGTAACTGATATAACCATTCACGGTTCAGAGAAATGTCAATTAGTGCGTCGTATATAATCAGTCCGACGTAGACTTCCAGGTAACTCCTGAAACCAACGGAGCACTTCTGGTTTTACCTTCACTTCATTTCAAAAACACAGCTGCCTCCATTTTTTAAAACACACACAGTCTATGGTGAAACTACACTAGGCAAACATCTGTCTCAGGTCCAGGGGGGGGAGGTCGGGGGGACGGACGAGGGTGTCCTGCTGCTGGGTCGCTTTACACCACATGCGAGAAAAACCAAGCTCACCAGAGGAATATTTATCATAAAATACACATCGTGTTTCCGTACAGCAGTGAAACATCTCCAACAGACGATCCAAGACATTCAAAGGTTATCCTGCGTTTGCTCTCAGCAACATTAAAGTTAACCCCCCTGCCCCCTCTCAAGAACCATGACCTGGGCCTACCCAAATCAGAAACATTCGCAAAAAGGTCATGACACGAGATTCAACAGTGATCGATGCACATCAAAAACAATTTACAGAAGCTTTTCAGTGAAGAGGACAAAGTCTAGCACCTATGGGGGCCGTGAACGCAAACATCCTTCATCGAACCACAACAATGTGTTCAGTCAACAAACCAGCAATACGATTTGGTCTGTGATTGTCTTGCATCCACAGAAATGAACTCCGATAAAGGACAGCTTCCTTAGTTTAATTTGTGACACAGAAAGCTGGAGAGTGGGGGCGGAGGGGGGGAGAAAAAAAAACAAACAATCACTGCAATCACAGCAGTCGTCCAAGTTAGACCTTCAATCTTTGCAAAGATGTTAGATGGAAAATATATACAGGAGACCGAGGGAAGAAAAAAAACTATAATCAAGGAAAGAGGAGAGACGCAAAAATTCAGTGACTATTATTTTTAGAACATTTTTGCCCTGACAAAAAGGAAAATAGGAAAGAAAAATGCAAGAAGAAAACTCCCGCATCTCTCTGGGTCTTGTTTCATCATTAAAAATCAGAAGCCAATTTTCTTTGCTAAGTAAGTTCCACTAGGACTGTCACTTTTCATTTGATGTTCCAACATCCCTTACTTCAAAACAAATTACATTTTAAATTCTAAAATGCGCTCTGTTTCCTTGTGAATTTGCTCATTAAGTACATCTATGTGAAGTAGTAACTGCACAATCCAACAGAGGGTGCTCCAAGAGACGCTCTACTGTAAGTTGCCATGAGTAAGAAGAAACACTAGATCTAGCTTTTGTCTTTCATGTTATTGTTAGCAGGTGAAGATGAAAAAAGACACAAAAGCAACCAAATTTTTAGGCCCAAGAGTTCTCCAAATATATATAAATATAAAACGGTGGCAGCCCTGTTATACTTTGTCTCTGGTATTGTAGTACAAGTCGAGCATGATGCTATGCAAACTTTCTAATTTAATATCCCACAAAAATAACCAGTTTTGTTGGGCAGATTTGCTACGTTTGGTTTGCGAATTTAACTCCATCGTCATAGTTACTTAGAAACTGTTGCACACTTGGCAGGATTTACATGAAATAATGAACTCTTAGTTGCGTTTGACAGTTATGAGAGTGTTGGGAAAACGATGTATAATTCATGTTGTCTATCTTATATATTTATATATTATCAATATACATGTATTAACGTACTATGAATTAAATAAGCAATAGTCAGGAGTGTGAGCACAATGTTAGTTGCTGCTAAACTGCAGCTTTTTAAACTGACCCTTGAGCACTAAAAACACACAAGCACAGAGTGGACAAAAAAAAAATGACAAAATGATCACCGATAGATTTTTTTTTTTAATCGCACTAATTAACCCAGCCTTGAGAAAGAGTCATTTAACTGCCGACCTCATGTTTGTCATTTGTTACCGGTCCCTAAAAGCAGTAATGATCAGGATGGATTTAACCAGAACGATTATTTTTCATATTCTCACTGCCGCGAGTACATCATCCTCACCATCATCATCTAGCCAACCATCATGCCAAACTCAGCAGACAAAGGCAGGCACAGAGTTTACAAGCTTTCCAAACCAAACAAGGGCCCAAAGGCCGACACCACTGCCACTGCCAGAACTCTGCACCACTGCTTTCAACGCAGTTTTCCAAACAGTTGGCATTATGACAGGCACATCTGTTGGACTTGGTATTGCTTGGACAGATTGGGTATGGAGAGACGGAGCGGGGAAACCAGGGCGACGAGATACAACAATCACTCGTTGAGAAGATTGTAGAGACGGCCCACTTACCAGAAAAAGACAGAAAATAAAATGAGCCGAGCAGATTCAGTACCTTAACACAACAACAACAAAAACAATGCCTCAACCTGCAAAGACGTAGAATGTGTCATTACACCATCAGAAAGATACAAGGTGATGTCTGTTCTCTCCAAGCCCCAGTCACAAGCACAAGTGGGATAAATAAAACAATGGTAACAGTTGAGAAATTATCAGAAAAAGGCAACACTGCTGGTTCTGCTGGATCTTTCTTCACTTTGTCTACATTTCCACTGGGGGGCAGGGGAGGATTTTTTTTTTTACATTGTTGTCAACCTTTACAAATAAGCAACCAAGCAGTCCGTGATAGCTCTTCCCGTCCTTAAACCCCCCTTTTCCTTCCAAATCCCTGTCTCCCTCCCTCTCTCTCCCTCGCTTTCTCTCTCTCTCAGCTACTCATCACTGGATTCTAGAATTCAGCAAACTCCTTTGCACACTTCTCTGTGAAGGAGACTCTGATTTCTTCTTCCTCGTAGTCGTCGAAGTTGCTCGTGTCACCGGGGCCTTTGCACTTGGGAATAAAGGGAGCTTCCACCTGCCAGCAACGAAAAAGGTGAAAGTATTTGAGTCACCGACAGAATCAAAAAAGACCACGACGCATCTAGGCCTCAGGAGAATCAGAGACAATTTAAAATATTTACATGCATGAGTGGTCACACAGAAATACTTCTGCTGGATTAACAATAGAACAGTCAGGAATGCAGGATTAAAAAAAACTGTAAAGTCTAATGATCAGTGTGTGGTTAAAAGGCAGAAATAAATGTGTGAACATTAACAGTTCATTTCTCCCAGTAAAAATAAAAGGAAATCCTTCAGTCTGAAACTAATATTAATATTTGCCAAAAAAAAATAATTAAAAAATTAAATAAAAACCTCCTTAGGTAAATTAAGATGCATTCAATCCATCTTCAAAACAACAACAAATACACCGAAGCAGTAAGGTTTTTTTCGTTCCTCAAAGACAGACAGGCGTAGGTGAAGCCTGGGTCAACACGGTGTCAACTGAAATTTCAGATTTGTTTATTTTCTACTTTTAAAGAGAGTAAGTCTAAACACATCATCTAAAATTCAACTACCAATTATACTTTAGAAACACAAAGGTGCAAATCAAGCAGCTTCAAGGATTTCGAGCAACTGTACGGCCTCTACACTTTTAAGTGGTTTCTACTTTGGCATTCATCCGTGTTCATCACAGAACATTTGACTAAAGTAAGTCTTTGTGTAACCTTGTGTGCAACAATTCTTTCATATAAAAGAGCTATCTTCCTTTGGACCTAAAATGAACCATTTTCGTTCGTTAAAGAAGAAATCTCTGTTTTTTTTTTCCTAAACAAAGCAGGTAATCTATCAACAATTTCTACAAAAGAGACAACTGATAAAAAAGGAAATTCCCCAGTCGCGGATGGAGGCTAATGACACCTCCGCATGTTGTCTGTGTGAAATCCAACTCCTCACCTTTCTCTGGTAGATGGCGATCCAGTCAGTGGTGGCGAACCACTTGTGGCCCTTGATGTCGTTGACTCCATTCCTGAGGTTACCAAAACGCTTGGTCAGATCCACCTGAAGCAGATTTCTTAGCAGATCCTTCAGGTCCGAACTGAAGTGGGAGGGGAAGCGAACCTTCAGGAGGATAAAAGTTTCAATTAAAAGCGGTAAATTCTACATTACAGAAGAGTCCATCTACAGGTAACTGAATTTCCTTTGTAGTAAAGTCTTGAAATAAGTAACAAAAACTCACTGTTGTATTAATTTTCTTCTAAACTGACGACTGGACACAAACAATGCAGTAAACCGTGGCTGACCTCTCTGGTCTGCCTTATCACAATTACAATGAATGTGTTTTCGACTGAGGTATGAGAAAAAACAAGTCAGTGGGGAGTATTGATTTGAAGTGAGGCGCTCAGATCGATCAAAAACAGTCACTGATTTAAGGTTTACACTGCATGATGCTCTTTCTCTTTGTTTACAATTCTCTCTCTCTCTCTGTTAATGACAGGTTTGTAGTGTGTCGTACACATGTTGGCAAAAGCTAACAAATTAGGAAATTAAGAAAAAGCAATTATTATCCGAGGCTCACCTTCCCTGATACGATCTTCTCGTAGATTTGAATGGGCTGGTCTGCAAAGAAAGGAGGATAACCTGCAGCCATCTCGTATATCAGCACACCCAGGGCCCACCAGTCCACCGCCTTATTGTAACCCTGAAAATCAACAGAGAAATAAAGATCAGAATCACAGACATTGTTGGAAGTTTTATTTTGGGATTTTGTGAAAAATGAAATCCCCCGTTCCTGACGGCTCCTCGTCCTGTTCATGAACAAACTGGACACGTACCTTACTGAGAATGATCTCCGGTGCCAGGTATTCTGGAGTCCCACAAAGCGTCCATGTTCGACCCTTCACCCGTTTCGCAAATCCAAAATCTGTGACCTGGTGGAGCAAAGATGAGATTGTGGCTGAAAATCAGACACTGCAAGAATGGGAGCCAGAGAATTAAAATTTTAAAACATGTAAAAAGAAGAAACATGTAACCCTTGCCTGTATGTAACCTTGGTGGTCAATGAGCAGGTTTTCTGGCTTCAGATCTCGGTAGATGAGATCCAGCGAGTGAAGATATTCAAAGGTCAGAACAATCTGGGCTGCGTAAAAGCGAGCGTGTGGTTCACTGCAAAACAACAGCCACAGTATTAATAGCCAGCAGCAGCAGTGTTAAATAAAGGTGCGCTGACTTAAAGTCAATTTACCTGAATCTACCGATTCTCCTTAAGTGCGAGAACATTTCACCTCCTGGTACATACTCCATCACCATGTACAGGTTACTGTTGTCCTGCAGAGAGATAAGCAAAGTCTTAGTCCTTGTTTAGACATGGAGTGAACATCTATCCTTAGTGATCCGGTTACATCCAGACGGGGCCGGGTCCAGGTCTCGACCCCCACGTCCTTAAACCAGATAAAATAAACCACGTTTGGTGGTGTTTTGAATACGTCCACATTCCTGAGTGAGAAATCAATTGAACTGAGCTCAAAGATGAGGAGGAACTAGCAAGGAGCTAGATTCCTCCAGCTCCTTGACAATGCTGTGTCCAGCTTAATGCTCACATTTTTGTTTTTCAGAGGAAAAGAAATACACATACAACATAAGGCTCACAGAGGTGGAACAATTAATCAATTTTCATAAATTGAAATATTATTATCATATTACTAAATATCTTCTCAAAGATGCCACCGAGTGAAAAGATTGTTTATAACATCTGGTTTCCTCTAAACAGGATCTTAATTCACAATTTGACTTTATATTCTGTTGCAGAAAGCTAAAACATTTGTTTGAGACTATAAATTGTCAATAAATGTTTGCTGAGGTCATATTGTAATTTTAAGAAGCCTTATTTGCTTCAACTTCTTGATGCATCATTCAAAACCAGCGGAGAATTTGTCCTTTTCAAGGGCATCACAGATGGGGCTACACAGTGTGTCACACTGACACTAAAGCTAAAGTGGCTGAGGACATGATTTGGATCACACAAAATGACACACTAAATCCTGTTATTAACCAGATATGTAAACAGAGTTGTCACGGTATTGTTCTGTTACTTCGGCCTACAAGTGAGAGGTGAAGAATATAACGGCAAAACAAAGGTAAAAAATAAAACATATATAATTTTGAACTACCTTAAAGGAGTGCTCCAGGCGAACCAGGAAGGGAAAGCTGACAGCTTGCAGGATGCGTTTCTCATTCAGCGTGTGCTCTATTTGTTTCAGCTTCACTACCTGCAAGCAATGAGGATGAAGACTTATTCAGAAAACACAGGCTGTCAACAGGCTTACAATTATTTGGGAAGGAGGAGTCAGTGGGTCTGCAAGGCGTTTTCAAAAAAAAACTTTTAGTCTAAGTTGTACCAAGCCATGGCATTTGTTTGTGATCAAATTGTTTCATAGCTAATAGGATTTTCATAAAGACTAAGACACTCATCATGTAAAAAAAAAAAGTTGCAGTAATTTGCTCAAATTACTCATGTTTTATGTTCTTTTACCTTCTGCTTGTCAAGTATTTTCATGGCAAAATGCTGGCCCGTCTCTTTGTGTTTCACCAACATGACTCGACCAAAGGAACCAGTGCCTAAAGTCTTCAACCGCTCAAAGTGATCCAATCCTGCAGTTTGCTGATAAAAAAAAACAACAACAACAAAATGACACAGTTGAAAAACTCTTATTTTATGCACTCAGGTCAGTCCTGAAATTATCATGTTTAAATGGCAACTACTGGATGTATGGATTTAAATCTAGGTTGGTCCAGCAGAGGGTGCAATAGGTCTATTAAATAAAGTGGACTTGAACTGAACAAGTGCAAAGCAATGTCTAAAAAAAAAAAAAAAGAAACTGAACACATGGGTTGAAAAATGCAGAATCAAAGACAGCAACGTCACTCAAAACAAAAACATATGTACTATTGGCAGAAATACCTTCATGCACAACATAATGTCACTGTTGTCGTCTATGTCATTGTTGACTCACCTGTGCTGGATTCTCCCATTTCTTCAAGAAGTCTTCTTTGGCCTTGGCAAGAAACTCCTTTACTGTAATAAAAGATGAATTCAATTAAATGTATTTACAAGTGTTGAAATGTGTTCAACAGAAAACTCTGAACTCCCACGTCAGAGTCAAGACCCAGAGGTGACCACAGAGTAACCGATACATTAATGGGTACAGTATTCCGCAGATACTGTATTCTGGTGATTCATGTTCTAACAGATTGTTATAATCCAATAATACTGGTGTTTGCTGGTACCAATTCCCCTGTTAAAGATTCCAAATAGATGGTTAATTTGATATTACACACAAAATGCTGAAAAAAAACCCAACAAATTAAAACTGACCAGATCTTTCTGAATTATTTGACTCACAGCAGCAGTGTTATTGTTGTTGTTGTGAACAATGACTTCGTTGATGAATGTTTGACTACGACAATGTGACAAATGTAGTGATGTATTAAACAACTAATTAAAACAGGACCAAAGGAAATTTGGCAGCCAAGTCCAATCAGTGCTAATTATGACATACAAGAGCAAGAGCCAATCTAAGAGATGTGTTTGCTGGCTAGAAGGCGGGTCATCTAAATGAAGGTCCAATCATAGCTAACATGTTTTCTACTAGTAGAATAAACAGAAGACAGCCTCTTGCCAACATTTAAATACTTTTATGTACTGTATATGGATTGGATTTGGATTTGTTAATGAATAATACAATAATGTATGCTATATTCAAATATAATAAAAAAAACACATGTTCAATAAATAATATGAATGTACTATAAAACAAGGTTTGCTATTGGAATGCAGTAACAGCGCCAATTCAAAACATTACACAAAGAAATTACAGAAGACTAAATCTAAATTAACACTGTGTAGAAAGGAGTACCTAGAGTTTGACTTGACAAAAAGACATACACAGCCTTGTTATTATTGGCCACTAATAAGACCCACTCTCACAGCCCTGGCCAACAGTGTCATATGGAGAAGTTCATTTTTCTTGTTATCTTTATGAGGGCAATGACTGAACTCTGTGGGAAAACATCAATGAAAAGACCTTCCTCATTCCTACTAGGACACTACTAGTGTCTCCACACCATTCTTACTGCTATGCCGGACATGTTGATGTTGAAAGGATGAAAGTTCACTGCAATAAATGAATGTCTGCGGCTAGTGGCTGAGGAGTGAGGAGTTAAAACAGCAAACTGACTGATGTGAATATGTACGAGAAAAAAACAAAACAAATCTAAAACACATTGGAAATAAAATCTGGTGCAGGACAATGAAGGATGTCTATCTATTGGGGGTAATCAATGCAAAATAGCAGCCTGAGGCATAGTTTAAATAAAGCTTCAAAGTTGTCAATAGTAAAAGATCATGAGTATCTGAAGGTCAACTTTGAAAATAGAAACTGGCTGTTTCAATTTGCAACAAGTATTAATACATAAACCCAGAAAATAAATGCACCCCTTTCTCTATTAAACAATCGCCAGTAGATTGTATTTCCTGCCAATTCCCTAAAGATCAAGAGCTCCAACAATAGGATGGGAGAAGGCCAGCTAAAACAGCAGAGACCAAAGTTCATGTAAACATGTCGGGAAACTGTTGATCCCACAGAGAGTAAAAGAAGTAGAGAGATCGCTAGGGAGAAAACATTTCCCTCGAATGTTGCTCAGCTCCCACAACCAAGTAGAGGGTTATTTCTTTCCACACTTGAAGCTGGTTACAACAGAACTGTAGTAGTTGGGACTTGCTGGAGTTAGAGCCAACCATCTTAAATATTCCTTCCGTCCTGTAGCCCCTAAAACATCTTACCACTTGGAACGACTGTGAGCATCTCTTCTGCCGCAGCTTCTGCCGTGCGTGAACTGCTTTCACTCGAGCGTGAGGATGAGTCCCTCTTCCCTGCATGCCTTCTTGAGCTCTTCCTGTCACACATTAGCACTGCGAAGTCTCCTCCGTTCTTCTCTCCCTCACAGCCAGTGACTCATGACCTATACTCCCACTCGGAGAGCGCTGGGGTCAGATCTGCAGCCCCACTCGTCCACAAAAATGAGTTCAAGTGTCCTTGGCAGAACGATGTCTTCAGTGAGTCTCCTGTGACTGTCACTTCGCCTCGCTCCAAGTTCAGAAAGCTGCGTCCAGCTCCAGAGCAGGGCAGAGACAGCGTGGAAAGCAGCTCCCGTTACGCTCTCACAGATCAATTAGGACGTTGCTTGGTTTAGTATCAATATTTGCTCTGTGCACAAAGTACTCTCTGCCGTTCCCTCTCATGTCAACTACATATGCAAACACACACAAGTAGACAGAGAGGCTATGTATTGATTTAAACAGGGGCATAATCACTAGGGGGCGGAGCAACAAACAGTAGCTGGTATATTTATCCAACCCTGAGAGAAGGTTCGCAAAAACTAGGACTTAGGCCCTAGAGAATACATTTAGATGAAAACGGAAACTTTCTCTTAATTAGTGGAACCAATTGAATGTCACACTTCCAATGAAGAAAATCGAAGACCACAAACAGAAGAATTTGTTCACACAATAACAAACCACTACAACAGATCCTTTCTCTGTCCCCAACCAACAGCATCAGAGTCTGTTATACCAGTGCAAGAACTGACACTCCAGAAATCAATCCTACAAATCTGCCTCAGGCCTAACCAGCTCCACTCTGGCATTTTCATTTTTGGCAAGAAGAATACGATGGTGTTTGTCCTCACAACAAGACGACACGTGGATTCATCTGAGTGCAAAACACATTTTTGTTTCTTGTCATTACTTGCTCCATGAAAAAATAAAAAAAACTTAAGAAATTTGTATCAGTAACTGATATTGCACAGCAGCTACCATAGGCATCTACTATACTTCTGTGTAAAAAGTCTGTGCTATAAAACACAAAAAATACAAAACTGTTTAACATGAATCCCATCGGTCCGTATCAGACGGCCATAAAACATTCCATGTTTAAAAAATGGTATGTTAATAAACATTTAACCCTACCCTCTCACTTCATTTACTTGTTTTTTCCTCACTGTTGCATGTTTGAAATGTGCTCAAATGATGTGCTAATTATGTGAAATGTGCTCTAATATATATATTTAAAACAATATAACAGACCCTGTAGGTAACAGCAACGCAACTCGGAAGATTCAGATCTGCCAGAAGTCCAACAAAAAACAGGGAGGCTAAGGATGTTAGCAGAGCTATCTTAGCATAGCATGGCCCAGTGAAGCCTAACTTATACACACCTTAAATGAAATAACATAATTTTTATGATTACGGTGTGAGAATGAAGGTGTAAACTTTACAAATTGTGTTAAAATTTAAGAAAGCTTGTTGGTTGTTTTTATTTTTTTAAATTAAGCGGAATTGGGGATGCCACACCCCCCTGGGTCGGATGCAAAACAGCCAAAATCATTTGAGGACTACTGCTCTAGACTGAAAAAAAGAAGTAGCATCTGCTTTGGCTCAAACATGTTTCCAGCAGCTTGTGTGTCTGCAGTGATGTGTATATCTTATATTCAGTGGACCCACTCTAACCATCAGTACTTTTATTCTTTATATCTTGTGGAAAATATTTTGTCACCATGTCCACAAGGTGAGATTAATATAAAACAAGTTTGTACCAGTTCACTTTAATCATGCAACTGGGGTTTTACGAGTGTACTTGACACCATCTGCAGGCTAGGGAAGGGAGCTACATTTACAATGCTGATAAACACACAACAGCACTATAACTACATTAAAACAATGTGTTTCTCCTTTAAGATATTATGCATATTTTAAGAAATTTGCCTTTCTGGGCAAAAAACAGGTCAGGAGAATAAAACACCTGCGCTTTGGCCTGTGAAACTGCTGGTGCGAATCCCTCTGGTCCCTCTTATCAGTGCTCCTGTCGGCATATACAGAAGTTTCTTTTTTTCCCATCACTGCTGCGTTATTTCCTGTGGTTATGGTTCCCCATCACAAAAAAGCTTTAGATCTGCAAATGGTCATACTTTCAATATTGCAGTATTACCACAACACTACTGTGAAGTGAAGCAGCAGCAGCGTAAATACAGGAGTGCTCATTGTGTGAGCAACAAAGCAGTACATGTTAAAGCTTGGACAGAGCAGATCAGTGACACAGCTCTTAAGCGCTGTTGTTCTGGTCTGCAGCCCTTACCCTTAACCCCCCACCCCGTTCAGAGTGCACATTCATACGTGCATATTAGCAGCCATCATTTATTGAATAAATTCTTGATGAGAATTATGATAAAATAAAAAAATTCTGGCTGTGCAGATTGATGGTGGTGATGATGATGCAGGGGTCAACCGCAGGGTCGCACTCATTTGTATAACATGACATGTTACATGCAACAACATGCAAAAAAGTGGACATGCCACAAGTTTAGACCAGGAAGGACAACGCAGACAAAGTGTTCCTCTTGTGATCACTGTAGACCACTGCGTTTTTCTGGGATCATTCCACAGCATCACATCTGCTTGCCAACAGTGAAATACAGTTTTCTGAGCAGACTGACTGGTATTTCAACCATGAGGTCCACCAGTAATCAGTGCAGGATTATAACAAAGCTCCCTTTTTTTAACCAAAGACAGGAAGTAATGACTGATTCAAATGCAAACTTCACCATATAACACAAACCAGCAGCAAAGAGAAGAAACATAAAAAAGCATAGATATTTTACAACATGAGGGAGATGCAGAGTAAAATCCCAATTAAAAATCAACAAAGCTACAATGCCTGGTAGAGGGGTATTTTTGGTTAAAGATCTAATCATTTATTTAACAGGAAAAAGAAAAAAACACATTTGCAATACGTGCTTTTAGAATTTAATTCATGTGATTTTATGACGTTTTTATGTTTTTGCCTTATTGTTTTGGTTTTTCAAAAATGTCAAGTATAAAAAAATGTCAACTATAAAACAAATAAAATATAAATGCCCTATGACTGGTTGTAACAATGGACATGGTCTGTCTTGTCTGTGTTTTTTTCTGTTTTAGGACCAGTTTACAACACACAATGTGTATGGGTAAAAGATGAAGGTCTCAAAATGCATTTGCTAGAGGACTAACTGCTAACAACAGGTGACAAAAAGACAAACTGCCACATCTTTCATAAATGTATATACAGTATGAACACTCATTTGTTGGCATACATCACCAACATTAATAGAAGAAAATGCATGCCATTTGTATGAATGTGAAGCCATCTTGTCAGACTAACCACTTATAAGCCCTGCTCCCATTCAGCTTCAGTGTAAACTCACTGGAGTAGGAAGCCTGTAGCTCCTCCTGTGGTTGGTCTTGTCTGCCTTCTCCACTGTCTGTATCCCCTAAACAAGGCCCAGCTCGGTGAAACAGCCTTCCTGCCAGCTTGTGAATAACAGACATTATCAAAGACTAAAGGAAACCAGCTGACCGTCTGTGTGAAGTCTCAACAAACCACAATATTTTCAGGTGATTTAACAAGGGGCGAAACCCGTATCCATCTGAAATGATCGTGAAACTATCCTGGCAGGTTGTGTTTAGATAAAAGCGCAGAAGAGGGTGCGAACAACGAAGGGTGCACAGCCTGGGCTGGACCTTCCTTGCTCCTTGGCTTCCTGCTGTAGTACACAGAGAGTCCGCCCGCCCTGCTTCTTCCTGTTAGCCAGAAATGAGTTCTTCAGGACAGGTTCTTTGCTTGGCTTTCACAGCATGGGACGCTCAGGGGAAACAAACCCAGAGCAAACACTCTACAATTTCTTGTGGTACACACCAAAAGCAGAAGCCATGATGTTGTTAATCTGTAGATGCTTTGTGGAAAATTACACTTCAGAGTTAGGTGTTGGTCCTCTGCTTGCCACCTGTGCGATGATCAGGGTGGTTTCTGCTACAATAGACTTGTATGATAGGAATTAAACCACAAACCAAATTAAATCTATTAGGTTTTTTCTTAAAAGGCATATATCAAAGGCAAAATAGATTAAAAAAATCTGAAACCAAACATCTGAACATCTAAGATGTAACAGGCATTACCAGTAATGCGTTATCATCACAGAGAGCGACTGAAGGCCATTTTTCACACTTACTCTCTACCAGCAGCACGAAGCCGACACTCATTTTGCAGATACATGTTCAGACTCTGCACACTTGAGTGTTACTTGTGGCCCACATATAATTCTTAAAGCCCTGCAAACCGGACTGGGAAAAATATAAAACTGGCAAAAGAAAAGAAAGCTATCAATAGGAGGGTTCCATGCAACCTTGGGGAGCCGTCCTATGCAAAATGATTAGCGACACCAGAGCTTCACTGGCTCCGTGTCATGCACCATCATTTCCACACAAGAACACGGTGACACATACAAGTGTCCTTGTTCTAAATGTTGCTTATCACATGATGTTCAAGAGACTCCTCAACTCCTGTGTTTTAAAGAGGATCACCCTTGTGCATCATATGATCCTGTACTGGTGTTGTTGTTTTTTTCTTTTACTGATAAGAACTAACTTCCTCCTGTTCTGCATATCTTTAGAGGAGTTTTATCTGGTCCATATCAAATAAGGCTGCTTTCACATCTAATCCTATTTACAAAAACTCAACAATAAATGTAGGCCAGAGAAAAGTTTTTTTTTTTAAATTCATTTAGAGGGCAGCCCTTTAGCAAGAGGCCCTGGTTCTCTCTTTGCCCGTTTCGTATCCTTTGACCTTTCCGTTTACACTGTAGGACTTTAGCCCTCTAGTGATCTCAGAACTTTGCTCCTCTACACAACAGATACTCTGGAGTGTCTACAACATCTATTGCCATGCCTATGTACATTTGATGTGTCCACTGACAATTCACTTAAATTCAGGATGCTGCGTGGGAGTGGGGGGGGGGGCAACTGCAGCACTGGAATGGGAATTAAAAGCCCCTTTTAGACAGCATCTATTAAACCCTTGTTTTCTTCAGTATACATTACTCTGCATGCAGAGTTTACATCTAAACAACTATTTCCATAAGGGTGTAAGGCTGCATGCATGCATACCCCGGATTACTGTTTTTGTTTCTTTTTTTATTTCATGTTTTGGAACGACACACTGAGCATGCCTAAAGGATGGGCACCAGGCAAGCGACAATCCAATATCAAGTAAAAAATTATGGTATGTAGGAGTTTAAAAAACAAAACAAAACAAAACTCACAGTCAATGTCTGAAGGAGCTGTAAAAACATTAAGACTAATCTATATACAAGTAAAAAGCAAAGAACTGCCTCAAGGTTTAATCTTGCACTGCTAAAGCCACATTTCACAATAACCCTTTGATTTGAAGATGAAAAATCAGGGACACAGAAACCACAAATGAACCTGTGACTGTTGTATAAGGCCGGTTATATTTCATCTTGACTGGTACTTCTGAAACCAACCTGGGGGGTTTAATCACAAGCTTTTCCACAGAATTTGTGGATGGAATACATAATACCACCCCTGTTTGGCTGCGTCACAATGACCTGAAGGTAGGTTGTGGACAGATATATGCATCTTTTCTGGACCGTGCAGCAATCGTGAAGTTGTGTATAAAAGTTTATTTGATGTATTGTGGTCATTGTGGTCTAGGCCTTGGTTGAATTGCAAACGTTTTTGAGTCCACATATTTTACAGCGAGTGTTGAGAAAACAGGAAATGGATGCAGCTAAACAAACCAACACTAGTTGCATGATTCAGGGTTGAGGGTTACTCACCGCTCTCCATTTCATTGCCTTTTTTTGCAGTGGGCGTGTTGCCCATGGTGGCAGCAGGCTGATGTTGATGTCTCTGGGTTCGGGCTGACTTTCCTCCTGACAAGTTGTAGAGTGATGCTACACCTCTTCACGCACTCGATATGCTTAATGAAGCTGACAACCAGCTACTAGCTAACAGCGATCATTATTAAACGATAAGTTAAATTCGTTCCTTCGAATGCTGCTCTTGCTGTTGCCACATAAAACGACCAAATCGCAGGGTTAAAAAGCCCAGGTCCAGCAGAAATTAAGGCTTTTGGAGCTAGCACAGTTAGCACAGCAGCTAACCCTAGCACAGACAGTAAGAACTAGAAAATTAGCTTTAGCTTGACGGTTTCCAAGTGAGTGTCTGCAAATTAAGACGACACTCGACTACCCTGTATTTCGAAATGGGTTGATTTTTTGTTCCCAAATACCTGTCAAAACTAATAAACAGATGTAGAAAGCTGTGATCCGTCTGCCTAACGAACAGGCTTTCGGTACCTTTTAGCTTCCCTCGCAGTCGTATCCCGGCCTGACCTACCTAGGTGCTAACTCTTTGCAGACAGGCCCTTTTCAGTTGAGACGGAGGCAACAAAAGTGGCGACGCGATTGTACACTGATGGTTATTCTAAATAGAAAATTTTCCATTTACTCCCAATCCAGTCGTCAATGTAATGCGGCCGATCACCTGATAGTCGATAGCTAAGATCAACAGAGCCTTTCCATTAATCTTCAGTCCGCAAGGGAAACTCCAGTCATCCATCCAGTACGTCCCGCCTCCTCCGGTCTATGGTTGGCTGTTTTCCTCGACACTCGCGTGACAAAACTTGTAACTCGAAAACTGATTAGACGGACGTCAACAAGCCAATCATGGCATTCATGCCATTCGCCCGTTACAATAATGTTGTCCCGCCTTCCGAACTTGCTTGTAACCCATTCCTCAAACTGTTGGCAGATTTAGTTTTTTATTTAAAATTTGGAACTGCATTTGAAACCATATGTAACACACAGCTGTATAACAGCCGCCGTCCAATCGCCAAGCAATTTACACTGTGTGTTTTTAAAAGGTAGCTCTGTAGCCTAGCCGCCCCTCCCACTTTCATCCCACCCATCTGTGATTGGGTGTGACGTTAACACAGGCTATTTTTAGTAAAAGGGAAAAATATAAAGGAGACAGTTGAGTTGTTACATGGATGTGTTTGGGGTTATGGTGAAATAATTACGATTTTAAAAATGCTTCCTGACAAGTTCGACTTTTTCTCATTTTAAAAATTTGACAAAATCTACAAAATATGCACATTTAACAACGTACAATATAAAAAATGGAAATGGAATTTAACATTTATCCATGCATTTTATCAATGAATTTCATTTGGCAGCATTGAGAAATAATAGTCAGTAATTCCCCTATTAACCTATAAATTCAACATTACAATGATGATTTTTTTGTGTATAGTAGAACATAGGTCTCTTCTGCACAGTAGCTGCCATGATGGATCATATTACATTAGCCAAGAGTAGACCAACATCAGACCTCTGTAATTTAATGGCAGCCTTAAGTAAGGTTAGATTCAACAATATTTATTTTAAAAACTTAAAAAATAAGTACAATTTTCACACATCGATAAAGTGTACGAAACATTAAAAGTACAGTCTTTATTATGTCCAATCCAAAATCCGAAATACAGCTTTGCACCAGATGTACCCTCTCTCTACCTGATGTGTAGAAGAATGTGTAGATAAAAACTGCCAAGTCTGAATATGTCGAGTTGTTAAACCTACCTAACCACATGAGTTTTGTAATAACATGAAAAAGATTTGTATATTTTGCAAAGCATTTCAACAAAAAACTAATTTGTGGTCAGTTAAAATGTAGGTCTCTTTAAAGATGTAAAGTTCTGAAATAAAAACATCCCAGTGAAGTTGTTTATTATTTTCCATATGCCAATTCAACTGTGTTGTGTAGAGCACTTCACCCACTCCATGTACTCCTACATTCTTGTACTCCCAGGTTAGCTAAGTTAAATGCAAAATACACCTCACCACTAGATGATGCTAATCCTGAAAGTGTACTTCTAAGAGGAAAGTAGCTGTAGAACAGAGATACATAACAAAATGAATTTTTATTTGGAACATAAAATAGCATACAGGGAAAAAAAAGAAAAAGTAAGTGACACAGCCTATATCAGCCATCTAAACCTTCACCACCAACGTGGGGAAAGGCTTAAGTGCACAAGAAATTTGAAACAAAATAAAATGGCAGATTATGCTTTTGTTGTTCAGCAATATATTGCAATTAAGTTGCCTATTGCTTCAGTGCTGAAGTCTTCTTGAAAGGGTATAAATCCTGATACCTCTGCTTTGTTTCAGTTCAGCTGCAATACTTCATAGCTACTGTATTCTTCCTGTGGGTATTTACTATTTTAATATTGCTTTTAGCATCACGGCAAGAAACACCCCAGTTATTAGCAATGATGTTCTTACTCTTCCATGGTCCAAATACACATCTGATGCCCAAGGTGAGAGTTCGTTTGATACAAAAAGCCTCAGTGAACTAAGTGCACCTGCACAGCAGCCTGTTTTACATCCAAAACAGAATGTCTGCAGATATTCTTCTGCTGCCAGGTTCCATGACGTGTTTTGTCACCTCTCGGATCATCACTAACAATTATCAGGGTTGTCTCTATAAGCAGTCCATGGAGTTTTCTGGCAGCATCCCCAGGGGAGGAGCCTTTCCTGGGAGACAGGATGGGGGGAGCATGGAGTTTGAGGCCGGATCCACATTTTCAGTGTCCTCCATTCGCTCAGCGCAGGCTTCCCAGTTTATGTGGAACCTGGTGACGCGGGGGTTTGATGCCAGAATATTTCTCTGAAGCTTAAAAACACACACAAAAATTGGTTTAGCTAATGTGTAAATTAATTTATGAGAAACAGGGCTAGGTTCATCAGAAAAGGTGATTTGAGGTACTATTCAGATCTTTTTGACCAGCCCTTTGTTTTTCATCCAGTTCTGTCCAAAAAAAATCTTGACAATGTAATTTGGATCATATGTGCATTTCTTTTTAGGATCAAAAAAATTACATAATATATTAAAAAATGTTTTTGTTAATTTGATATATTAATCATTCTCTCAGTAACTAACATTATAACTTAACATAACATCAAATTAAAAAATGGTAAAAAATATTGTGCAGACCCGCCAGAATCTGAACTTAAAATATCCAATACTAACCTGTGTGTAGTCTGGCTTGATGGGTGGATTTTCACGAAGCTCTGGATCTGTGTATTCATTATTCACATAGTAACCAATCCGAATGAACTCTTGGGTTCGATATGTGCAGGTAATTAGCACCACAGTAACACCCACAGCATCACTTTCAGGGATTAGTCCAGTGTTTGGGGCATCAGCCTGTTGGAAGACAAACCACATACAAAAGAAATGTTAATACAAATCCTATTTGATTTATTCTTTTAGAATATTTGTGCACCAACCACTTCTTAATTGATAATTACAAGTAGAGACAGAAAAAAAATTATCTAGAAAAATTGCATGAAGTTTATGACCATCCCAGGTTGGTCTACATGTTATAAAAAGTGCTGATCCACAGTGCATGTTTGATTATTTCTCCGTCATTATCTTTTGTACATAATTAATATGACAGTGAGTAAAGGATATATGCTGCATGTGCAGTGAAGCAAATTGTGCCGAAGAAAACAGTTAAATATTTTGTGCCTGTGATTTTTTTTTTTTTTTTTGCACCCTTTCAGTCCCCCGCCCTTACTGAAATAGAAACACACCTGAAACACAAACATGTGTCTCCCTGCAGGGACAGGTCCGACCAGAACTGAGTCAAGAACTTGGTCGTATTCTTCACTCTCTGCAGAGCCAACATAGATAATCTTCCATTCCAGATCTGTCAACAAACACAAAATGTTTTTCTCATAAACCTACTGGTCATTTTTAAATTACCACACAAACATCACCAATGTGTTTAGTTGTGGTCACATACATAAAAGTACATAAAATGTAGATAACATTTTTTAGAAATTTGAAAATGAAATAAAATTGTCAACAAATAAAATATTCCTAAATAAATTAAACTTCCCAATTAAAATGATTAGTCTTCCAAAATGCTAATTGCTTTAAAGGTGTAACATATCACACATTATAAGCACTGCTGTATTTCTTGGTTATATAATAATATAATATAATAGCACATTTAGCACAGTGTACTGTGTCACCAGAGGAAAAGCAGCGCCTTCATAAACACGTTACTATCAAGATTAGAAGACAAAAAATGTGTTAAAGAATTCCACTAGTTGTTAGCAATAACTGTTGTTGTTGTAGCTACATAAGATATTGGTGCTTTTACAGAACCAATGGCTTTAAATAGTACACATTGAGTTATTTTGTCGCTTCTATTCTATTCTATTGCACATAATTGATATTTGTTTTGCATTACCACACAATAGTGTACACAATAAACGAAACGCATTAAGCCGTGGGACTCGGCTTTTACTTTTGTCAGCGTTTAATGTCAATCGCATTATCACTTTAATTGCATAATTGCACCAGAAGAAGACTGCACACTGAAGTTCGCTAAAATCGTTAGCAACTACAGAAAACACATGCTTTTGTTTTTAGAAAGTTAGTAATTATCAGTGTGACGGTACTTACCTTCAGGGAGGTCCTCCATGCACTCAAATGTGATTTCAAACTGGAATGGGTTTCCAAACGGACTGGGATTATCCAGTACCGCCACATTAAGCACCTGCACCTTAGCCATTGTTGCTTATGTGGAGCGTTGAGGCTACAACGAAGCTAACAGTAAAACAACCGTTCAAAGCAGTTTACCGGGGAAAGCTTTCAAAGCAACACGACCGCGAACAACAAGGAGAACACCGTTACTACTCTTTCCTAACAGACTGAGCGTTTAACTTACTGTAAGCTTATTTGTAACGACTTAATGAACAGAATACGGTTAGTTGTAGTATAAACAGCTGCAGCAAAACATTAGGATACATAAACAGATCTCCCGCCGCTTTGACTGCCTTTAGCGCGCCGAGGAGAAAAAGTGTTCTTACATAGAAGAAGAACGACTTCCGTTATTGATAAAGGCGAAAATATCTTTAGCACCCCCTTGCGACCACACACATATAGAACATCCATGCTTTTTTAATGGACTGAAATGTGTAGATAGTAAGACAGGGTGTGCTGTAGGTACAATGGTAGCAGACTTACATACATACACTTTTCTTCCATACGTACACAACAACAATTGTTTGTCATTACCTTACTATCCATCCAAATAACGATTTATATATGTTACATATATACATTCTGTATATACTCTGTATAGAACACAAAAATAGTATGACAAGATAGCTAAAGTATTCTGATATATAGGTATAACTGAAACAAAGTAGCAAAAGTGAATCAAAATATAGAAAAAGTGCTTAAAGTTAGCCAAAATTAAGCCCACGAACCCCTAATAGTTAGGCAGAGTTTAAGCATTGGTAAATGGTTGGCCCATAAAAAAATTATCTAAAACATTGCCTAAAGTTTGCTGAAACATAACAGAGAACCCAAAAAGATAGCAAAAATATCTAAAAGTTAAGAATAGAATTAATAAAATTAAAACAATACTAATTAAAAATAAATAAATTAAGTGCATCAGAACCTATAGTTAGCCAAAGTAGTTATATGTTGGATGGAAATATGCATAGAAAAATGTGATTTGGTTCCATCTGAATTATAAACCCAGAATTATACCCAGGAAGGATAACTGTAATAATTCCGTACTAACCCTGATCCAAATGAAAATAAAACGAGACCAGGTCTTAGCAGAACAACCATCACCTTATTTCCCCACCCAGTCTGAGAGGGAGAGATTATTGGAGGATTAGAAGTCAGTGGACCAGCTGGCTGCCGAATTCATCCTTCAAATATCTCTGGAATGTTGATATGCTTTCCTATGATGGGAAACATAAAACCTGTTGGAGGCGCTATTCCATGCCACACTTATCAGGAGAGGTTGCTAGGTAAGAGGAGGGGCAGGGACTAAATAACCGTCAAACATTGAAGAAGAGCAGCGGCAGCAGCAGGTTGGAGAGAGCAGCCTGACATCACTGTACTGTGGACTAATGCTGAGAAAACACAGCAGAGCACATCAAATGTGGACACCCTGCGACTGGACAGTGGAAGGAAGATGATTTAAAGGTATTTTCTTGTAGAAATCTCTCTGGTCTAAGGAGGACTTGTTTGAAGCAGCAGGAGGGATTGTCTGTGTTCTGCTCCGGTGACCTCCCCTGTGTGTTTTTTCCTCTGACTGCGTACAAAGAAGGATCTGTACTACTGCTGTTGCTGCAGGTAGATATCTGCTCTCAGGTAATCTAACACCAAACTCTACCACGTGACTAAAAGCGATTTGAAAAGTAGACGGAAAAAAAACCCTGCTTTACATAAAGTACCAACAGGTACCGTGGATGTGGCTGAGACTCACACTGGAGGCAGTTCTCACTCTAAACTGTACCAAAAGTCCCCGTTTTGGCCTTTTACAGAGCCACCTGTCACCTTCACTGGACAAAACCATTTGTTTCATTTTTGACAAGGTGAAGCGGAAGCAGTCGGTGTCAGTGAGGAGTGGACCTGCTGCTCCATGTTTCCCGTCTCGCCCTCTCGGCACCAGTAAACAGCTGGATCCAGCGTAAGACACCTGTTATTAATACATATATTAACACGTGTTGGTGCTGTTGAGGATGAAGCCCATTCGAAGGCTTTATTCCAACATCAGCTATGAATAGCAGGGTTTGTTCCTGTATGTGCTGTGAGCAGGTTTATGATTCAACATCAGGCTGACTGTGTGTGACTCAGTGGTTGACTGGTAATTGTCTTATTCCAGGTACTTTACACAGTCTACGGCTTTGACGTCCTACAAAAACCTTGAACATTGACATTTACTGTAATATGAATGTAAGACGTTTTAATTTCTCAGGAAAAAAAGAAAAAATATCGAGAATTGTGAGTTTTAATAATGTATTTACAATTTTATAAAATCCAAACTGTTGTCTGTTTTTGCACTAAGACTACTGTTGGTCTTGTTTTTTGTTTTTGTTTTACTTTTTATTTTGCAATTATTTAGCTAACTTGCAGTTATCTTGATGATAATTTAAGCAACTTTGTGGTTAACCCTTTTGCAGTTTTAGTTGATTCCCAGATACGTTGCAAAAATAGTCTGCAAAAAAATGCAAACATCACAACAATTTAAAACATTTCCGATAATTTCTAATGTCCCAATGT